CCACCTCAGCCTCCCAAAGTGCTGGCATTACACGCATGAGCCACCACGCTCAGGCTCTCATTGCTGATTTTTTTGGTTCAGTTCATAAAATTCTTCTAAATGATTTCAGTTCACTTTGGTGTTTCTGTTGCTGGCATAATCTTCCTCAGAGAACCATGAAAAACAAGTGGTAAAAAGCCTTTCTTCTCAGTGAAGCTATAGGCTCAACAATTTGCCGTCTTTGCTACATGATCAGTGTAAACTCACATACATGTGATTATCTGTTATCTTCTTAGCATGAAGTTCCTGGCAATTCACCTAGCTCTAAGACTGACTTCCTCACGAGTTTCTATGTTATTTTTTGAGTTCATAAACACGCTTGCACTTAAAGCGATACGTTCATTTGTTGAGCAACTACTGTCTGCCAAGCAGTAGTCTAAGCACTTTCCTTACCTAACAGCTCCATGAGGTAGGTATTGCTATCATGGTATTTGCATGTAGAAAATAGGGTCAGACTAGGTGGTGGCTCACGCCTGTAATTCCAGCACTTTGGGAGGCTGAGGCGGGAAATATTATTGAGGCCAGGAGTTCAAGACCAGTCTAAGCAACATAGAGAGACCCTGTTTCTACAAAAAATTTAAAAATTAGTCAGGCATGGTGGCGTGCACCTGTAGTCCCAGCTACTTGGGAGGCTGAAGCGAGAGAATCTCTTGAGCCCGAGTTTGAGGCTGCAGTGAGCTCTAATCACGCCACTGCACTGCACCCTGGGTGACAGAGCAAAACCCTGTCTAAAAGAAAGATAGAAAGAGAGAGAGAAACAAACAAACAGGGTCACAGAGGGATTAATTTTCTTCAAATTATACTGCTAATTAGAGACACAACAAAAACCAGAATTCAGATCCTATTCTATAAATTATTATTTTATATGCTTCACCTAGTTAGAAAATTACTTATTCTTTCTCAATGTCCTGACTGCTGACGGGTACCTCCAAGGCTTTAGAAAATTGAATTCAGTTCAAAGAAGAGAATACAGGTGTTTCTTTTCACTGGTGGGCTCTGTCTTAGGTTGACTTCACCCCCTCCTTCCTTTTTAAAATAAAAGAAAACTAAGGATTTGAAAAACAAGTAGGTTCTCCAAGTCACAGGGCTCCCTTAAGACTGAACATGTTCAAAGCTAGAGATCCTCTCAAAATAAAATACATGAGCTGCTAATAAGTTCGGCCAATCAAAGTTAAGTAAGCATATCTGCCTCTAATTTATCTAATAAAAAACTCAGATGGGGGCAATTCATCATTTCATTAGCCTGGCCTTTCAGTGAACTCCGGTGTCTTCATTCTCTCACCAGGATTTGTACCCCTTCGTGAAGGGCTCACTAAAAAAACCACAGTCTTCCACCTCCAGGGCCACTGCAACTGATACACAGATAAAACAAATGTGAGATAGCCATCCAATGGATTAGTATGCAGCCATAAAAAGGAAGCCATAAAAAACAAGCTTCAATGTGGATGAAGGATGATAACGTTGTTCACTGAAAGACACCAGACACAAAAGATCATATATTGCATGATTCCATTTCTTTTTTTCTTTTTTTTTTTTTT